TTGTATTAGCGCTCGAACTAGGGATGCAATGCAAACTTGTAACATTAAATTCAAAATACCCATTCATAGCCAGCAATAGCTAATTAAAATATCTAGAAAATAATTTGACAAAAATATTTTTTTTAAATTGGTTTATGAGGATAAAAGTGAAAGTATTGCCAAGACACGATACAAAGAACGATAAGCAGATGAATGCATAAAAAAGTGGACTACAATAAAAAAATATGAATAAAATGTGTGAATAGGCTAACTAGCTAAAAAAAGTTAATCTTATTGATAGATAAATTGGAAGCTGTCTCGCTAGAAAAATGTCACATCTTAAATGAGAACTAAAAGGGGAGGGGGGGTAAAAGGAGAACTATGATTTTCTACCATTATAAAAAGAATATCTAATTCGGATAATAAGAAGAATCGGGATTCTAGATAGAACAGAGAGAAAAACGAAGAATATCCAAGAACAGTTGAAGAAAATAATGGTGTTAATGATATTTGTTAACTTTTTCATGAATATACATTTAATATGATAGAAATCACAAATCGTGTTATTCAATGAGCCTTCGCAAGAGGAAAGAAAATGCAAACAAATCTTGATAAAGACATATAAGCGTACATATCCGAATATTTTAAAAGAGATATGACAGAGTTGTATGATCTACAGATGGTCTCTTGACGAAACCAAGGACGTGTCAATTTCCTGTTACCAGCTTCCGGTTACTAGTATGCAGATCCTGAGAATCTTGGCTATCAACTGAATGAGTAGGCTTAAAGGCAAGCTTAGCACCTGATACCAATAAATTGATAAGATAAGATGATTTGTATGGCTCTGTAACTTTGGCGCCTTTGGCTAACAGATGGGGCCGACCGATAGGCGGCCAGGGGTTTCCATGAAGTTCGAGCACGCCATGTTCTTGACAAAACACTCTATCATCAGAATGGTGTGGTCGGATTAGCCGAAAGAGACTGGTATATGCACGGTTGTAGTGGAAGTAGCGCGGTAGTAGAACCTGGACAAGAAAAGACGATCCAGGGCAATAACACCAAAAAAGAAGACGAGAAGAAATAGAGGTAAAAATAAAAGCATATGATTCCATGCATAATAAAGAAAATTAAAAAATGGATGAAAATGAGAACGTAATACAGACTAAATGAAACATGTCAGACAGAAACAGTGGAAATAAAGGAAAAAAATTTATGAGTTTCGAGAATCATGAATAAAAAAATGGAAAACGGAAATTCGAAAATAAATTTTGATTTATATAAAGCCTAGAGGAGCAATGGATAAACATATATTTGATCTAGGATGATGATAATAATTAATAGATATCTGCTGGTATTGAAGGATATGCCAACTAGATGTTAAGCGCTGAAGCGGAGAGAATATAATCAATCGAATGTCATTTGTAAAAAATAATTATCTATAGCATGAATGACAGGATAGCTTTATCTTCATTTTTATTATGCATTCAACTTCATTTCGACAAAATATTTTTCGACATGACCTTTCTTCTTAAGCAAATTTATCACTTTTGGCAAATCCACCTAGAGCCCTTCATCTTGAAGAAAACTTAGCAACTCATAAGATGATATAAACTCCAATTGAAACAATTGTGGCAGGCCCAGATCTTGTCATTCACATCTTAATTGGCAACAAATAAAGATGTTTATGAAGATTATTCTCCAGGTTAGCTACTCAATAATAACTGTTCGAAACTGGTTTCTTGGTTCGCCCTTCTTTTGGTGACTTAAAATTGTCTTTCAAGATCCTCAAAGGTGATGTATCTAAATGTCTATCAGATTATATGCATTTGATTCAAACATTACAAGCAAGCCAGAGTAAGTCATTAAATACCAAGAAATCAGGAGTGAATAATGAGTATAAATCGTAAATTGGAAGATAAAGGAGCTTAAAAATGAGCAAATGTAGCGCTAGGATTTTAGAAGCGTCCTGAATGAGGCTATTGAATATGTCTATCATATATTTAGAGCAAACAATATAATATCACCGGAAGCATGATGCATACGATGGCTGAAATCAAGGACAAAGTTAGGCGCAAAGGTAAAATATGAATTTTCAAGAGCGGAGGGTGAAGTGGATCGCCGAGTCAAAATACAAAGTCTGATCAAAAAGCTATGCAGACCATATCAGAAGGCAGCGGCAAAAGTGATAAAACTCATTAGCGCACCTATAAGCGACATAAATCTGGAGTGCAACGGAATAAAGCAAAATATAAAACAGAATTGGGAAAGAATTGGCCGTACAAAGACAAATTGATGAATGAGAATACATCAATGAGATATTAAATAGGAGAGATGAGAATAAAGATACTACAACCTTTGCAAAAGAAGATTAGTAGAGGATCGTATTACTCGTATATTCGACGAGTTGTGATAAGGTTATAAAAATAGCGAAGCTAAGTGACGATACTGATTATGAAACCGGAGAAATGTCTAGGAATAAACAGATACTAGGAGGACGAATTGTACCAATGAGAGAAGGCAGTATAAGGTAAGTCGTTCAGTCTCACTTAAAATTCGATTTTTATAGATAGATAGGCTATGACCAAATCTACATTATGGAATGATAAGATGGCCTATTAATACGACATTCATGCTGAAGCAGTTCACAAGACATCTTCGCTCGTTTCTGGTGAAACAGGGCAGAGCTTTCGTCCACCATATAATGGTCATAATCATCATCTTGTAAAATTCTCAAGTTTACACTAGGTCAAGAAGACGGGGATGATGTCTCGTGGACTTTGTCAAAATGGACGTCATAGTGAAACCAAGTGCGTGCAAAACAACGGTAATGGGTAATAGTTTTCCGGTTAGATAAACCAGTAAATAAATTCATCATGTAGTTTCATACGTAAAGAAAGTTTCCTTAAAGATATTATGAAAGGAAATGCGATCAAGCCAAAAGCCATACAACAAGTATCTTAAATCCACAGAAAAACTTTTAGGTCATTAAAGGCGAAGGTCTAGAAATCACTTGGGATATCATTTAGAAGCAAAAATATAAATAATTCAAGTAATAACTAAATCTGATTAAGCTGAAAGAATCGCTTTCTTTGCAATTTTGAAAAAAAACAACTTTAAAGGCAATTTTCAACTAGCTCCAGCTGTACGCAATAGCAAAAAAGAAGACTTCACAAATTAGGCCCATAAATATGCACACAAAATGTGATGAAGAGTAAAATGAGTATAGTGAAAAACGAAATAGTACTCATTATTTTAAGGTAATAATCTTATAGAAGAAATTATAATTACATAGATCATTTTCTGCATTAATGAGGGCTCCATCAACCAGAATTCCATCAACTCGAGGATAGCAGTATCAACGATGTGGTCTGCATCAGTATTCTCAAGTTCATTGGTAGTCGGCAGCTGTAAATGTCTAGGCAGAAGACAATGACCTCCTGATTCATGTGAGGCTATTACCACTAGCTGCATCAGACGTTCCGCATACTGGCGAGTCTCACAGGCCACTTTCCAAGGCAACTCTAGACGTTCTTCACGAACCAAAGCAGAAACACATCGTCGTAGCTGTGAAAGTCTGCCTTCAGGGCCGCCGCCAACGCCTTCACTGCCCCTCAGACGTAGAGGCTTTCGGGGCACATGAAAGCGTATTCTAGTTGAAGCCAGGCCAGGGGCGGGCAAAGAATCACCGACAGAAAGTGACTTGGAATCTGGTTTGAGATTATTCAGACAAAAAGGAGCCGTTTGCTCGGAAGCTTCTGGGACGAAATTGGTAGAAGCGTGAATTCCTGCAGTGCTGGATTTTACGGTAGTGATAAGGCGAGCACGTTTGGCCAAACTGTTAGATAGTGAACTACGAAGGACAGGGCAATCATTAAATATGAACTGTAAAAGAGAGTTTCCCGACAGTCGATTGAGGCGCAAAAAAAAAGCCTGATTAGGAATGTAAGAATAAAAAGTGTTATTGGAGAATGAAAATAAGTCTGCTTATGCAGCATAAACCATAGCAAAACTAATGCCTCTCGAAAGGGTGAGATTCACACTGCTTGATGGCTACAATGCAGGTGAAGTGGATTGGTTTTAGTTATCAGAGTCTCCATCGACGCTGAGATAATATAGTGTATATTAACCAAAATAAGTACAGCAAAGATAAACACTCCTTTTACTCTAGCTTTTGGTGGGATTTAAAACGTTTTAATTAAAACTTAATATAGGCCATGGCTGTAGACAAGGCTATCATTTTCAGGAAAATATAAAATAAATTAATCATAGGAACCCTAGATAGAGAATGCTAACTATTATTTTGAGCTTACTTCAATTTGGAGTGAAAGTCTTTGGCAAAGAGTCAAAGGTCGATCCCATCAGAAGACGACTGTAGATTCCACATGAAAAACTGTTAATTGACCTTACTGGAGCATTGTTATTTACGTTTCAGTCAAGCCAATCAACAGCTTGCTATCAGGAATATGCAGTGATCTTATGGTGGAATGGATCTTCGAAACTCTTGACCAAATACTTTCATTCTAAATGAAAGTGAGTTTAAGAATTATACATCAGAAGATTCTTCGTCGCATGCTATCTATTAGGCAAGCTATCTAGCACGCTTTCAACTATCAAAATGGATTAATAGGCTTGGGCGTCCCATAAAATGACAATTCCTTTTATTAGCCCAAAATGTGTAAACGAAACAAATGCGATCAGAAAGTTTATCTCGCCTTTTGGAAGTGTAATGGTTATATCTTTTGGAACCCGGCGACAATGAAGACACTGAGAGTATATTTACAAATAGACCGCTGAGCAGTTGATCATGTTTTTTACTGAAACATATAACCTTGATTGAAAAGTAAATATGACGATTTGCATAAAGCAAAGCATTGATAAACAGAGTAATTTAAATAATAAGCAGCAAAGCAGGCAATCCAGACAAAATATAACAAAAAGAAAATAATACACAAAATATATAATAAATAAACGACTTTAAAGAATGCCTTCATTGAGCACATACTAGATCAAGTAACAGATTAGGTGCTATCAATTAAACCTGTAAAATATGCGTTTCTGGAGTTTTATAGCCATGATAAAAGCGAAAAATTTTGAGTAGACAAGAATATGATAATCGCAGTAAGCTAGGCCTGCTGAAATAGAAATCAATGCGAAAAGTAAAAATGGGATTTCTGGAGAAGACTGACATAAAATACAGTTTTTAAAATATAAAGTTCATAAATGAGACTAAAGCTCAAAACTGGAGGTCATGTTATGTCACCCTGAAAAAATGCTCATCATAAAGGATCCTAAGCAAGATTAGAATGGAATAGGAGAATTATGAAATCAGACGTGATAAAAAGAAAAGGAATGTATGCTCCAATGAGTGTAACTCAGTATATGGGAGCTGCGATGGTATAGCCTTTTACTCAGACGCCATAATCCTAATAAAGGGCTAGAGAAAGAAAAAAAATTTACATAGGAAAGTTGAAAAACGTGTCATATAAGGATAAATTCTCAATCGCTGTCACAAACCTGACGAACGAACCGCTGAAAAAATATGTATTCAGGCAGTGACGTTTTAAAAAATTTGCCAGAATAAAGGGACCAATGCAAAAATTAGATCCAGCCAGATCACATTTATAGGAAAAATTATGTAAAAATTAAGGACAACTAAAAAACCAAGAAGTAAGAAAGATCACGAGCAGCAGCTTTTAACCAGTTTGGGGCTGAATCAAAAAAATAGAACGGAATTTTTTACTGAGAGCAAGATAATTGAAATGC